CCGAAACTTACAATCCGGATAAAATCCGGATAAACCGGACTCGGATCGAACACTATACCACAAGCTCACTTACCTCACTTTAAAAAAATCGATTTTCTGACTAGTATACTTTAAAAAAAAAAAAAAAAAAAAAAAGTATAATACAAAAATACATTAATTGGAATTGAAATTTTACAAATATTTTTGTGATAAACTGATAATTTAAATATTTTGTGATAATAATTTTATTAGCGATACAAATGTAAAAAACTATTATTTAGTATTAATTGAAGGAAATTTCTAAAGGTTGAAAAGTGAAATTTTGACTAAGTGAAAATCGATAAACCGGATCTCGTGATCATGAACCAATAAAATTCAAGTAACGTGATACGGTAAATCTTAATTTTGGCCAGAATTATAAAAAACTTAATTCTGGCTAAAGTTATATATTATATCTTCAAATAAAAATATTAAATAATATTGAAGCCATGATATAAAAATAATTAATATGTACTTAATGTCTGAAATTTTATTGCGTATTTTTGCAGGATTTTTAATATCAGTTGTCAATTATGCGTACTACTCATATAAAAAGTCTCTGCTATATATATATATTTGGGTCCTGTTTTGATATTGCACCACATTCCTGGTTAAGTAATCGATATGTCATCGCGTGGTCAATGAATAATTTTTCTGTCTCTAGTATAACAACAATTGGGATTTTGATCGGATTTTGGTACTGTCAGGATTTTAGTGTCGAGATTATTGACCGCCAAGATTATGGATGCAGGACTCTGTGATAAACCTATTTCAATTTATATCTTGGACAAATGTAAATGTAGGTAATCATAAGATTTTTCCTTTTTTTAGATAATGCCAGACGGCGTTATACAATAGTGGTTATAGTATATTTTGGGTCTTATGGAAATGTATAAAATATGCGTGCACGTTTTCATATTTGTTTTGTTCACTGCACTGTTGCTTGTGCGTAAAAATTTTATACATTTTTGAAAAATTTACATGCAAGCTTTTCAAATAATTTTCTCTATTTGCATTATGATCTCAAATTATTGGTACATAACATATAAAATCAATATAAATGTGCGGAATCACCTAATAGGTTATAGAAATGTTTTCATACGATTTACGTTGTCAAGTTAATTACTTAATTTAATGTATGCGAAAATTCACTCCTTAATTTTATTACAAAGATTTATTTTATGAATAAAAATATTGTAGTAATAACAATTAATACATAAAATGTTTTTGGTGATTAAAATTTCAACTATTTTATTTATGACTATAATTTGCCAAAGTAAAAGTTTCTATAGTAAATGGAAATAGCGTAAGGGAGTATAATCACATGATCATCAATAATACAGATCTTAAAGTTTCGTTAGACGAATATTGCATGGTCTTGAGCCTTTTATAATATTATCGTTCAGCCCAATAGAATCATGCAGATTTTCATAGACCGATATTTTTATTAGCCATAGCAATAACACATGATTGATATAAATAACAAATAATTGATATAATAAAGTAGAGTAAAAAAATGGCGTAAATGAATATTTGTAGGAAAAGTTTAAATAAAGCTTATAAAGTGGATTAAAAATGAAATTTATAGAAAGCTTATTATGAGATAACACACTTATTGGATGTGGGCTATATCGGTCACAGGGACCTTCATTGATTGGTGAAAATGGCCACAACGTGGCCCATTTTCATCCAATCATTCGGTCCTCTGACCGATATAGCTACTTCCTCATCCAATAATATGTATTTATTACTTATTGTGATTAAATTATTCTATCATTTTTTCAATATAATCTTTTCACTCAAAATAATCAAAATAATATTAATTTTCACTACCAGCTAATTATAAAAAATTGTCTTCAATAATTTTATTCACTATTTACCATTCCAATAAATGATAAAAAGACAGAAATAATTTATCTATGCTTTTAGTAGTATAGATCAGAGTATTAAATACAAGTGAACTTATAAAACATTTATACTTTATTCAGTTTATTGGCAATTTAGATTGTTTCAATATAGAACAAAAAACTGAAATTTATGTTTTTTAATTACAGTAACTAATAATTCTATAATAATTATTTAATATTAATAAAAATATTTGTTATCATAAGATAAATTTCTCAATATTAATACTTGAACTATAACAATCTAAAACTTGAATATCATATAATTTATAATAATCTACTTTATCCTTTAGATCAAACAAATTTTTGCGAGGTGCGGTAAGAAAAGATGTAAGAAAAGTTTGTAAAATAGCCAAATATTTAATTCTTTTCTTTTTTATAATATATTCCTCTATATAAGGGAAAATATCTTCACTTTCATATTTTGTTGTATTTTTAATTACCAATATTTTAATAAAAGTATTTTGTGAATTCTTTAAAAATGCTTCTAAATCACTTCTATTTGTTATAAGACTCAAATACAAATATTCTAATTTAAAGGGAAGAATTTGTCCTAAATTTTGTAATATAATTGAACTCAAATGATTATCATTAGTATCAATTAAAAGGTAATTAAGATTCTGTTTTATATTTTCAATTAAATTGATTAATGAATTAATATTCTGACTATTTAGCCCACTAGGTAAATATAAAATTTTAATCTTAGAACAATATATTACAACTGATTCAAGTAATTGAAGTAATTGTTGTGATACATTTATTCCTATTTTAAATCCAAAATCTTCTATATTATTACCAAATTTTTGTATTAGTAGTAATAATGATTCAATTTGTAATATTTCATTCAAAATTAAAGATTTTAATTTAAATGGTTTAGTGATATTAATAATTTGTGGAATAAACTTAGTATCTAGAAATTGGCAAAAAATAATTTGAATTGATTCTAAAACATTCAATTGATTGAATACTTCATTTAAACCAATTATATTTTTAAAATAAACATAATAAAATATAATTGTGTTTAATGTATTTTAGCAATTAGAACTTTTTAATGATAATAATGTATGATACAAAGAAAATCTACTAAAGCCAAGTAAAATCTTTCTAAGATTTTCTTGAGAATTAATAATTTGTGATAAACTTTTTTCGATCGTTGGATGGTCATTGTTATCGTTGTAACATAGTGGGAATTTAAAATAAAGTGATGAAATTGAATTGCAATTAGAGTTGAGCAATGTTGAAATTTTGTTAAAGTTTCAGCTGTTATAAAAGAATCTTCTAGATTCAAAATTTTGATATTACGAAAGAAATTTGGATTTAATTTAAGAATGTCATCAAAATATTTACTTTCTTGACTTGAAGATGATACAACTTCCAAACTATGCAAATTTACTTCATTTTCAATGAATATTTGAAACAGTGACCTATAAATAAATTTTATTAAGTTTGATATTTGTGTTGTTGAAGTTCTAACAGCTGCTCCCCAACTTTCAATAGAACTAATAATATTACTTGTATCCAAATGCTGAATAAAACTAGAATAATTGAATAATGTATTTGAAGGAATTAAATCATTATTAATTCCATATTCATTTAATTTTGTTTTATCATTATCATTTAAATTATGTAAATAAATTTCAATAAAGTGATATTTTTAGGAAACTGAATTGAAAATGGATTTTCCCATAATAATGGAATTGCTAAACGACACCATAATCTATTAACTAATATACACGAATGTAATGTTATGTAGTCATCATGAAAATATTTTATAATTTCATTTGTTAACTCTGGTAAATCCCCTGAAAATATCTTTAAACACGCCATATGTTAAGAGAAAGGAAAGAAGAGAAAAAGGGTTCTCGGATTAAAAAGTTGTTACATAGAATATTTAATTACTTTACAGAAACTTACCATTTTTAATCAATATAGAATCGATATCGTTAAGTTTATCTTAACGGTATCATTTCGATATCATTTCAATATCGATTTAATATCGAAATGATATTGATACGATATCGAAATGATATCATTTGAAAATTTAAAGTTTCTGTAAAGTATATGGATTTCGGAGCAACAATTCTGTTTGTCACAAATATTTACGTAAAATTTTCACAATCAAAAATAGTGTTACATTTTTAAAAATAGTATTACAAAATTTTAAAAATAGTGTGTTTTATGAACATGCCGATTTTAATACTAAACATTGACATGTGGTAACACTGATTTAAGGCATTTTTATTGGCGATAATAAGATAATTTGATCAGATGACTAACCTTTGCCATAATTTTTTACGGTTCAATGGTTGATATTAACTATCCCTTAATCTGGACGGTATTTACTCCAGTACTTCCCCACGTGATTTGTGATATCTAAATTTTGATTGGCTTATAGAATATTATAATAAAAAAATTATTTTATTTCTTTTACAATAAAAACATTTAAAAATATTACCTTTACACTTTTATTAAATTTAAAATATACAAATAAACAAACACCATTTAAAAATCCTTAGTAAAATTTGAAAAAATACTAATTACTCCAAATATCTAATAAAAGTGCAAAATTACGCTGTAAAGTGAAAAATCCAATTGCGCGCAGCACAGTAATTTTACACAAAAATATCCATGACTTTGGGAATTGGGAAGACCTAAGCTATTTTGATAAAAAACTAATACTTGGGTAATTCTCTATATGCTGAAGAACTTTACTTACTTTGCAGAAACTATAAAATTTTTTCTGACGTCAATATGATATTGATAAGGTATCGATAAAACACCAATATTGCAATTGTTCATATTCCTATACTGATACATTATGAGACAGGTATCATTAAGTAACGGTAAGAATAGCGACACATTGTCAGTTATCGTTGCAATGTTATTACCATATTATAACACGAATCTTAAAGACATTGGTAAGAATTTGTTATAATAATATCGTATAAATATTAGTACAATTACGTAACGATATGTTAATGATATAAGAACTATATTAGTAAATAGCAAATTTATTGTTTCCTTACTTTAATTAGATAGCCTTAAAGTAGTAGTACATATTTCTTATATAGTTGGTATTCAGTAAATCGCGTTATTAATTAAATCTATTGCAGATAATGGAAAAACATGTCGCCATCTATTATCTGTTTGTATTCTATATATCGGACAGACAAGTTTAATCTGATAAGTCTCCTCAAACCATTTCACAATAATAAATACATACAACTTATTATCGTTACCATTATGACTAAAAATTGCTTCAACAATGACGTAACATTCATTGTAATCTTGTATTTGCATCATAACAACATCTCCAATACGCAAGCAATTTATAGTAAAATTGCCATGTTCATCTTCATGAAAGTATGTTGAGTTCAAATTTTTTTGTGTATTAAGGCCGCATTATAACCCATATCTGAATATGATATCATTAATTCAGATCTGAATAAGGGTCCATATATATCTACATAAACGTTCCCTAGTTTTGGTATCGATATACGCTGCCTAGGAGATAACTTGATAATATTGTTGGTATTTGTATGTACAGTACAAAGAATAGAACAAAGTAAAAAAAACAATTTATATAATAAAGACAAATGAAATATTAAAAACTAACTATTTGTTTCAATATCATCGTAATAAGGTTGTTCTTCAATAATAAACCAATCACCAGCTATTCGTGCAAAATAATCTGATAAATTGGTGAAACCTTCGCAAGATTTGGATATTCTCGGATCAACGCCACCATCAATTAAGGGCTGTAATGCAAAGAGAGTAGTGTATCTTTTCATTAAATCTAATTCAATTTTTTCGATTCATCTTTGGTACCATTCCCTTAAAAATTATATGTACAACTTCTTTGGTACCTACAGAAGAATCAATTAATGTGGCAAAAGTTTTTGCATTTTTAACAGATGAAAATTTGCATGCCTATGAAAAAAAAATATATATATAAATATAGTATGTTGAAATAATTTAATAATAAAATTAATATACAGTTTTATGATATAAATTAATGTTAACAATCACCTGTGAGAGAATTATCATCTCTTTTCCATAATTTAATATTCTTTTTAGTAGATATTTTAATGGAATGTGATCGAATAGGTATTTATGGTAACCGTTGTTGCCATACTCTAAATCGTCGGATATTTGAAATAATATCACTAAAACAAAATTGTGAATGTATTAATAGTCAACTAATTCATCATATGCACGTGTAGAAATGCTGTGTTTTTGAATCCAACAAAAAATAATGTTATCTGAAAGCAGATCTGCGATCTTTAATTTTTACACTTACTATCTGTAAATATGCCCTAAACTACTTTATCAATTCCTATTTCTATAACTGTATATATGATTTATTTTTTTATCTAACCTATCATGCTTATTTTACACATTTTTGTCTTTCTTTTCCTTCTTTTATGGAAGTCTTGTCAAACAGCTTGCATTTACCAGATTTTATTCTTGGAACTCTTCTCGTGTTGGTATTTTACTATTATTATTATTTCAGTTTCCATCACATTTAATCCCACTAACCACTCTCCAATATAACCATCCTAATTTTCCTTACCTTAACTCTCTTTTCTACTTTTTCATTCTTTTCTTTGGCGGCCTCTTTCTTCTTTTCTCAACTCATTAATTACCTCCACTACTTTCTTTAGGGTTGTATATTCATTAATTTTTGTTGATTGGACGGTGTTGCTTCATTCAAGATACCTTGTTTAAATTTATTCAATTTAGTTATCTGTCATGTATATTGAATTTTGTTTTTTTATATATTTTTAAAAATTTTTTTTTATTTTTTTTTTATTATTTTTTGTGTATCCGGAAAACAAGTTTAGGGACTTTTTTGAAAGGTAAGTTTTGGAATTTTTCTAGTAAAAAATTTGCATTTTTTTTGTTAAGAACGTATACTAACGTTCTTTTTTAATTTTTTATATATAGAGTATGGCTCTCTGGTCCTTTCAAGTTTCAAGATGAAATGGACGTAAGGTATGCCAATGGAAGAATGTTTTTAAAATTTTTTTTTTATTATGAACGTTTACTAATATTCTTCTCTATCTTTTTCTAGAAGACGGTTCCCTGGACCTTTCAAAACGAAGTAGATGCAAGGTATGCAGGGGAAGAGGAATTTTATTTTTTAAATTTATTTGTTAAGAATGTTAGTTCCTAACGTTCTTCAATATCCTTTATTTTAGAGAAAAGCCAGTTTTATGGGTTCCGGACTAATTCTTTTCGTGAAAATGCTGGTGTTCACCGCACACGGACTTGGTTGGTGTTTTTTTAGTTTTAATTTTTTATTTTAATGAACTGTTATTAACAGTTCATCAGTTCTTTTTATTCCTTTTTTTAGGTGATTCTCAATGTGGGATTTGATTGTCAAACGTTAGGAACTTACATTTTATTATTATTTCATCATCACATGTTTTTAAACATTTTCTAAGTAGTTTGATAATCTTCATTAGTAAATTTTGTAAATTACAATGGTCGTTAAGATAATCTTAACGATATCATTAATAATATCATTACGATATCAATTTGCCTAATAAAACTTTAATCACTACGATTCCAATAGTCATGCTGAGAGCTCTCACAATTGATTGCGCGATTTGTTTACTATTCGGACACAATTAAATACATTTCAGCAAAGATGTTAATTTATGAGATTAGAGATTAGATGTTGACTTTATATGAGTAATAATACAAACTAATACCGTAAAATCGCAAAATTAAGCACCCCTTTTTTGTGGATGAAAAGTTGGGGAGGTGCTTATTTTTGCGATATTTTTTTATATATATATTCTTATGTTTTATTGCTGCATGAGATCGTGCAAAATAGGGGGAGGTGCTTATTTTCGAGGGGTGCTTATTTTTGCGATTTTACGGTATATATTCGATACGCAGTATATTACAATCAGTATATAAATTTGTTATACTTACATCTGATTGATAAGAAATAGACTTTCAGTATACTTTTTTTATTGTCCGAAACGGTAAGTATAGTCCAAACTAGGGAATATTAAAATTCTAGGATCTTGTGTAACTATCGAAATGTCATTTTTGTTATGTATATCACGCGTGTTTAATTTATTTAGCTTTCAAGTACAACTAGTACACTTAAGAGCTGAGCTTATTTTTTCGGTAATGTATACGTACAATAAAAACTTAATATAAAAATTATTGTTAAACTATTAAATTTAGCTTGAATAAAAATTTAATAAATTTATTTTAATTAACAATAATAAAAGCTTTAATAATATGGGAATATTACACAATATCATAATATATTAATATGTAATTAATTATGCAAGTATATTAAGTATATTTAAGTTAATTATATGGTTTATAGGGAATAAATCATATTAACTATGTATTATATTTTCCGCTTAAAAAATAATTCTATGAAAGGCTGTAGGCTGAAGGATCATAGCAGATCAACAATTAATTTTATACATAATTTTTTTATTTTTAGATTGATAAAAAAAACAAGTTCCTAAACGTTAAATCGCACATTGAAATATTTCAAATGATTTTACCGTTTGTGAATTAGCAAAAATTTCATGTTAACATTATTTTCTGAATCGAAGTTTGAAATTTGATGTATCCATAAAAAACACACACTTTGCTGTAACTTTAAATATAAAATTATTTATTTTTAATAATCAAAAAGTTATTAGTGAATTTTATCAATTTATAAATTTAATTTAATCATGTTAATAACAATGTTAATATAATTATTATGATACTAAAAGTTGAATAAAAAAATAAATATGTAAAATTTTCTTTTAGAGATATTCAAATAAAAAACAAAAACTTTTTTTCATTTGCAATTACAGGTTACCACCATAGTTAGGAATCAACTATTGACAATTAGAGTTATACCATAAGTCCATAGTATTATTGTTCGTATGCATTTTCTTGAGATGTTAACCAGCAATAGATATACATGACTACAAATTATTAAATATAAAATTAACAAATAATTCTGAAAAAAATAAAATAGAAACAAATAAAGATAAATTTACCATAAAATAAATAGAATATAATCATTCAATAATTGAAATCATCTTTATTATTAGCATCATCTGTTGTTTTGAATAGAAACATAAATTAATTAATTTATATGGTACATTGTAAATTATATCTTATTACCTACCTTCTGAGCTATCAACCTCTAAGTCAAATAATAGAGGATCTGGACAGCCTATAAAAGAAATATTAAATAAAATCAGCAATTATTGAATAAAATAATCGTTAAATTAAACATAATACCATACATAATACCTTCATCATCAAGGTATGACGTAATAAGAGATGAATTAATAGGTTTTGTTAAATTATTAAATGTAAATAATCTGCTAGTATATATAGCATTAGGGTTTTTTTCATATGAAGTTGAAATATTTGGTATTTCTTTATCAGCTTCTTTAAACATAGCCTTAATTTCCTTTCCTTTATATCCAAATTTTTCATATTCTTGATATTCTTTATAGCCATTACAGGAACAGTACAAAAAGGCTACACTATCATGCAATTCACTTGCTGTTGGTCTTTGATTTGAATTAGCATTCATACATTTATAAGCTAGTTTCTTATAAATTTCAGGAGTTCCTTTTCCAAAATTTGGCCTGAGTCCATTACATATATCTAATGCTAAGGTAGTATCATGTTTTCTTTCATGAAAAGGTGGTATTCCAGATGATAATTCAGTCATAATTACACCAAAACTATAGATATCAGATGATAATGTATATGGTTCTCCATTCAAAACTTCTGGGGCAATATATGGTAATACTCCACATATTTTATCATCTGATTTTTGTTTATTTGATAATCCAGATAATCCAAAATCTGAAACATAAGTTCGAGAATTTTCTTGTAATATATTACCACTATGAAGATCTTTGTGGAAATATCCTAAATAATGTAAATAATTGAGACCTCCTGCTAACCATTCTAAATATAAAAATTTATCTTCCCATAAAAGGTTATTGAAGTTGTGTGAAAGAACACTTCTCAAATTGCCTTCATTTGCAAATAGTAAAATCATCATAAATTCTTTAGTTTCAGGATCTTTGGTCATTCCATAAAATTTTAATGCAACTATGTCATTTGCTTTATAATAATTCCAATGTACTTTAAGCTATTATTTACATTAAAATTAACAAAGAAAATTTTAATTATCATTAATTAATAATTAAAAATATGTAAAGTTAATACAAATCATACCTCATTTAAATATTCAACTGACATATTCTCTGATCCATTTAATCTTTTCAAAGCAACTTTGATAGGTTGAGGTTCTTTTTTTTTCCAACTTAAATCATCTTGTCTAGTATATCCTGCTTTACCATCAATCCATGTTGCAGAATACACTTTTGCAAATCCACCTACACCAATTTGGTTTATATCTTTAAACCTATCAAATGGCACCCATTCAAGAAATTTAGCTTTATACTTTTCATCTACATTCCTCATATCATAAATTGTATCTTTGATAAATTTATCAACGTCATTATTTCCGCTAGTCCAACCTTCAATCATGCGATGAGGATCACATTCTTTACACCATAATTCTTCAGTAAATGGTTTATTGCAATAAGAACAATTATTATGGTTAATATTTACTGAATTAGAAACTTTATCAAAGATTTTTAAATTATTCTGTTCAGTTTCAGTAGGAACTTGAGTTTCATTTGCTTTAGCCATCATTAATTTTTAAATAATTTAGTAATAAAAAAAAATAAGTTGGCGTTATTGGTGTTACTTTATATTATATTTTAATGAGGATAAAAAAGGAATAATTAGAATGTTAATTTTGTATCACAGTAATACACTAGGTCAGGTTTTTTGAACTTCTCAGTATCACTGCAGAAAAATGTCACATTTACGTGATTTGTGATGTTGATCATTTCTAAAAATATCAATTCCGTTTTTATCAACGAAAATAATGACAAAAAAATAAAAGTAAACAAAACAAATAGACTTTAAAAACTACTTTAATATTTCTATTCAAGTTAATAATCAATAAAATTATTTTTGAAGTTGTAACTTTCAAATCCTTTTTATTAATAAAATATAATTTTATAATGTAAATTATTATATATGTATTAATATTATAATCTTTCCAAGTATGAGACATTGTATGTCACTTATTATAACTTTTAATATCTTTTATCATTTTTTCAAAGGCTTAAAATTTTTTTCAACTTTTTTTTAACCATTCAATATTACTTTAGAATCATCTTGAAATTCTGTAATATCAATGACTTCGAAAGTATTACTACGTGTGTTTTCCTTGTATTTTATAATCTATTCAACTATAATCTCTAGCAAATCTTCAATAAAATATGATAATTGTCTTGATTTTTTCATGTTCTTTTATTTGTCTTTTCCGATTAGTACGTGCGCGTGAAGTCACCTGACAGTTTTTATCACGCGTTACATGTTTTTTTTTCCATCAAAAAAGTCGAGATTACGTTTTTAAACATCCGGAGCAAGATTTTACTAGATTACTTGAATCCATGGTTTATTAAACTTTGGTAGAATAGAAAAAAAAAGAGATGGATATAATAATACTGTAAAAATCTATCATAAATTATTATATACAGTTTTAAAAATGATCGATATCACAAATCACGTGAATGTGAATTTTTCTGTGAAGTTGGTTTAAATTTACTGCGTCCGCAATGATGTTATTGAATGACTAATTTATGATCCGCGATGACGTTAAACTATGCTAATTGAAAGGGTTTTTATTGGTTCTTTTTGGGGATTAATATAGTTAATTTTGACAGAGGGCAGCAGTAGTTGATCTGTATATTAAATTGGATATTAATAGGACGATTGGGGAAACTTTGAAAAAAGGAAATTATTATTTTAATTGGTTAATTATTTTCCTTTAAATATAACACATGGGAATTTCTTAGGAATGAAACTTAGAATTTTATTTTCTTTCTTGAATTTTTCATTTTGCTATTTAACTTTATTTTTATTATGAAACTCGGAAAATGTTATAATTTTTATCAAAAATAATAAATCTATTTTGTAGCTTGTGGTGGCAAATGTCTTTATGACGGGCACAAGTTCTATACCGCTCACCTCAATAGTACGAGCATTGATTTTTGAGCTACTGTGCTTTGCATCACGTGAGTACAAAAATTCCGCAGTCATTGGTACGCGATCATTTTTGTGGGACCGATTAACTTGGCACGTAATTATATTGAGTGTAACTTTGTGTACTATTGTTTCTCTTTACGTTAACATTATCGTCATTAAAAATAGAACTTATATGCTTAATAATAAGAAACTTCATTTGAAAACAAGTTACAGTGAGTTTTAAGCGATCAAAGATAACAATTATCGCGAATAATCTCGTACAACAGTACCTGAAGTCCTGAACACGCTTATCCAGGTTAATTTGGTATCGTCCACAGATCCCTGATCGAATCTAAAAGACAAAAAAATTTTAAGTTGCTTTCTTATTTTTCATTTTTATCTTTCTTATTTTTTATTTTTATCTTTATTTTTTTTAAAAAAAAAAGAAGACAATTACTAGTAATTGAATAATGTTAAAGAAAAGGAAGAAAAAAAGTGAAAAAAAATTAAAAAAGAAAAAAATAAATAAAAAACTATATTATTAGTATTAGTAATAAAAAAAAGTTAAGATGGAAAAAAAATCGTAACTACCTACTGGAATCTGCTTTACTATTTTTAAATTTCCCAAACTACATTTTTCAATGAAAAAAAAATTAATTATATACTGATTGGTACTGTCTATAATATCACCCTTTATGAATACCCCGATGATAATATCATGTACGGAAGAACTTTGAAATATCAACATAAAACGGGCACATACACTTTTTTATTTGTAAGTTCTTAGTCCTAAAAGATGAAAAAAAAAAAAATTGAAAAAAACTAATTATAAATACACTATGCTTTGAAACTTACTTATCAAAAGTCCAAAGAAGTTAATCGAAGCTGATAATTAAAAAAAAACAAACAAAAATACCCAAAGTCAAACCAATATCTATAGTAGGAAAAAAAAGAAAAAGAGTTTCTAAAAAATGATTTTGAACCATAACACTTTGATCGGCATATACGACTGATTATTGGCTGGGTTAATGATTTGATTTGAACCTATGTTGGTAACCGATTGGTTGTCAATTGTTACTGTAAAATCAATTTTTATTATGATGATTATGATAAAATTATGATTTTATTGACTTTAAATGGATCAATTTTAAAAATATCAATTTTTTATTAATAAGTACGAGAGAATGATTATTTTGCCATAGAAATGATCGGCATTTTACAAATTTACCGATCAAATGGTAATTCGCAAATGATCTTAATTTTGAATTTTTTTTTTTTTATTATTAGAAAAGTAAAAAATAAAAAAAAAAAATATAAAAAAGACATTGGTGATGGGTGAGCCTCGGTGTCAAATTCGACATTAAGAAACGAACAGAACGAACAAAATTTTTAATGTTGACGTTAAAAATTTGTTCTTGCCTTATTGGACGCCGATCATTTAGCCATGCTTACATAATACATTTTCCATTGTTTCAAAATCGACTTGCTAATCTTTTTAAGTGATCACAATGAATAAAAAGAATTTTTTTTATATCATTCGCAATTATTTCGATAAGAAAATTGTAATAACCAAACAAAATTATTATTAGCAAATTATACTTATAGGAAGAATAATCAAAAAAAATCAACATATTATAGAATTCATGCATAAAATTTTATAAATAAAGTTTACTGCGTTAACAATTTAATCAAGCTTGGACTCGAGTCACTCGAGCTCTGCCCGAGTGTCTTTTATAATATTTGTCGTACTTGTTCTACTCGATTAAGATACATTAATAAGAAAATTTGCCCTTAACAAATAGAATAGTTTTATTTATGATATTCATTTAACCATATTTTTGTTCAATAATAAAATTTACCATCAAATAATTTATCCTTAAACTCCATTTGTATAACTTTTTTGTAACGTTAACTCCTGGTGATTATCTAACATACCGGATATAATGCAGTGAAATACGCCAACTTACCAACACGCTTATTGACAATGACCGTTTTATATCGACGATCATTGCTCGATTAACAGAAATTTTTTTTAGAACCTAACCTTGACTATACCAGGTTAGGTTAGAAACTTTTTTTTTTTTTAGTATGATAAAAAATAATTATCTGTAAAAATTTAGATTATGGCAGCAAATTCTTTCGCAATATCTTTGTGTTACCTCAACTATATTAAATAACATGGTAATAGAGGTTGCTTTAAGAACGTTAATCAATAGATTAACTCTTCTTTTCGAAAAGAAAATAATCTTTATCAAATTAGTAAAATGGATGAAATTTCCATAAAAATCGATGAAAAATCCGATATCGATATTGATAAACCACATAATGATAAACTACATAACAATAATCCACATAACGATAAACCTGTTACTAAGATAGAAATATCACCAAATGAGAAATATCTTGTTACTTATAGTCAAGTAGATAATTCAATTGCCGGTTGGAATGTTAAGTATTCACTTAAATTAGACAATATACTCGATTTAAGTGATAGAAATGTTCAAATTAAACGAGACTTGACTAATGACGAATCAGAATCCAACAAAACCTTATACCAAATAAGTGTTTCCGATGATAAAGAAGTTGCGTTTATTAATGATGAAAATAAAATAGGTAAGAACTAAATAACTAATTATTCAAATCTTTATGAATTATATGAATTATATGAATTATAAAGGTTTAAACTATGATAATTAATATTTATTTGATTATATTTTATTATATTTTATTAGAAATATACCATATGAACAATTCTCAAGAAATTATATTGGATTGTGGTTACTATTGTGATTATGTTTATTGTACTTTTAACGTAAATGGGGAACTCATTTTATATGGTAGTAATCATACTGTTTTTATTTATTCCACGCAAACTAATAATAAAAAATGGGATTGTAAAAGAGTATATAAATTATTTAAAGATCCTGAAGATTTTAAATTTATTACCATATCAAAATATAATAAACTTTATTTATTTTCAAATAATTCCATTTATAAGTGGAATCTTGATACTGAAAAAAGTATAAAAATATTAATTATTGACGAAGAAATAGAAGGTAAAGATTGGGAACGTAAAAAGTATATCGAAAATAATATCGAAATTTCTAGTAGCGAGAAGTTTATTTGTACAAGAGTCAAGAATGAAATTATTATATATTCAATTGAATTAGAAATTCCTATTGCTTCTTTAGATATAAATAATGGTAAAGTTTTTTTTTTCCCTAAAATTAAAAATATTATAACATATTAACATCATTTTTTTTTTATTTAGTTACTCAACTACGTAATCTTATAAAATATCCCGCTTTACGTTCTCGATTATTTCCTTTATTGTGTCCTTTATTCAGTAATAAGATATGCAGCGGATTTTGGGATTCCGTTAAGGGTTGGAAAAAATGTTTAGGTCATTCGAAACAGAATGACAAATTATTAACAAAATGTGACATTAGCGTCCGAGCTACGAACAAAATTGCATATGTAATTCAGGATGGAGATATTTGGAAGGTTGATTTGGAAAAAATGATATTATACATAAATTCTTTACCTATTAATAATTCCGATGAAGTTATCAACAAGGAAATGGATAAAACGTATAGCCATTTGAATATTTTTTCACTTATTTCTTATAATTCATATATGGATACTATAAGTAAATTATTTCAAGAAGCTGAATCAGGTTCTAAAAAATTCATATTGGAACAAAATTTTGTTAAATGGATTATTAATTATAGGAACCTTGCAGATTATAAAGGAATTAAATTGCAAGTTATTAAAAAGAATAATATTAATAATAGATGGGATTTAATTTGTACAAGAGATGAAAAGTTTAAAGTGGATTATGGGATAGAACCATTTGAAATGAATTTATTTAATGATAATGAGATCATTATATTAACAAATGTTGGTCTTCTAATTTACCATTTTAATGAGAATGACAAAACTATTTCTTTAAACTATTATTATTATATGAAATTTAATAAGATTGATCATTCACGAGATTTACGAGATTTACGAGATTATAGAAAAGAATTTTCAAAATCTACTTTACCTTTACCAAAATATAATAGCTTTGCGATTTGTGATGGTTGGGCTTCAGTTATTAAAAATAATAAGGAATATCTCTTGAAATATGGTATTGAATTATTAAATTCTGCAATTAAAGGACGTGATTTAGAATTAGTGGATCAAATTTATAAAATTTGTTTAAATCATTTCGAAAAAGATTTCAGAAATAAGATGTTTTTAAGTATCATTACTTCTACAATGCCATTACTTAACGAATATTATCCAGAATATATTGAAAAATTTTCATTAGAAACAACAATGATTATTGATTCACCTTCTTATAGTATTGAACATCAAAGTAGTAATTTACATCTTTTTTCTTTTCAATATCCTCATATGGTTAATTTATCTCGATCTATATTATGGTTTAAATATAATGAATTAATGAGTAGTTTACTTGAAAATCATGAGAGAATATCCCTAATACTAAATTCATTTCAATTTTTAATAATACTTTTAACATTTCCCATCTATTTTATTACATTTTATATATTATCATATTTTAATTTTATTGATGATCTAATAACATGTGGTTTATTTTCTGAGTTTTATTTTAAGATTGTTAGTTATTCTTCAAATTATAAAAGAATACCAACAATTACTTTCATTAATCCTTATATTAAATTTGTAAATTATTCAAAATATTATAATTGGTTTACAGAATTAATATTACCTAAACCTAGTCCATTTGTTGAAACAATAAATAGAGATATTTATAGAACATGGAGTGGTGAAGCAATACTTAATTTTAAATGGAATAAATATGGAAAATATTATCATTTAGCAATTTGGTTTGGATATATAATTTTACTTATATGTTTTAATATAGCTGCTAAAATTTCTCAAGAACATGTAGATATTCAAAGGAAACTCTTGATTACTTCGATTACACTTGGATCTATGTATTTGATTTTAGAAATTCGTCAATTTATTTATGATCCTACTAAATGGATACAAGATATTGGAAATATACTTGGTAAATTATTTTAATTTCTTTAAAAGAATTTTAATTTAAGAAATTTATTAATTTAAGTTATTTATTTATTTTTTTTTAGTATTATTTGTATATATATTTCCTATTTGCACTTCAATTTGGTGTCTTCACGAAAATGATCATGAAAAGATAATTCCATATATCACTTTTTCATGCTTACTTTTAAATTTAAAATTAATATCATTTTTTAGAATATTTGAAAATTATGATGCTTATTATACAATTGTTGTTAGAATAGCAAAAAGGGTCATGTTTTTTTTTGTATACTTTATAATGGTTATTTTAACAAGTTTCGCATTTGCGTTCCATATTCTATTATCACCAAAAATGAATTATTCTTTAGATAAACGTATAATTAATGATGATCCTAATAATCCTTGGAATATGGCTCCCACTTATCAAGTATTTGATAATGAAACTAGCACTGACTCCAATTTATTTATTTTACAAACACCTGATGAGAACACAAACATGTTTACAACTTTCTCTACCTCATTTTTTGCAACTTGTTTATTGCTCACAGGTATATGAAAGTATTTTTATTTATTATTAGTTTATTTAATTAGTAACTCTATTAACTTTTTTTAACATATATATATGTAGGCGATACGAGTTCTTTTTATAATTGGCCATATGAAGATAATCCTACACTTATGATATTGTTGATTTTGTTCGCATTTATAATGGCTATATATATTCTAAATGTATTTATCACGCTATTTAGTGAGGCAATTTCAGATCATGATGGCTCATTTTTGGTTACAAGAGCAGAGGTATTTAATATATACTATATCATATTAATATAAAATTTTTTTAATTTTTTTTTGCTAAAAATTTATGATAATTTCTTGTAGTATTTGGCCAAAATTGAATTATTCTATTTATTACCACATCAGAGACGTTGGAAAGAATGGTTTCCTGAAGTAATGTATGTAAAATTTATTTATTAATTTATTTATTTTATTTTTAAAATAATTTTTAAATACCTTTTTTTATTTACATATAAATTTATTTATTTTTTCTTTTTAAAAGATATTATCATGCTAATGTTGATGAGACACGAAAAAAAGTTAGAGAAATGATTGATAATCGTGATTGGAAAACTAATGAATTCCCTGATATGAAGATAAAATTATTAAAAAAACTTAATATTGATGATTATATCACTAATAAACCTGTTGATGAGTTTACTTTGCGAAAAGTATTAAAAGAAACGAAAAACTAAGTTATAATACAATACTAGAAATTTATGTTAATAATTGATCACTGGAATTATAGAGTATTATTATTATTATTATTTTATATATAGAATAGACCAGTTTGTAATCAATTATAAAAATACAAATGTAACAATAAATATTCGTTTTGACCTTCCAAAACTACTATCCTTTGCGTGTGACTAGGTCAATCTGCTCAGGAATCTATTTTCAAATGCTACAATTATGATAATTATGTTAAAAAATGAATAAAATCAAGTAATCCTTCCTATTTTGACTATGTTTAGTCAATAAATCAAAATTTTAATATAATATGTGAAGGATATGTCTATTGATTGTCGGTCAGTAATGTATTGGGAAAACAGAACAAAATATAAAGCATTTCTTTTGCTAAGATTTGAAAAGTGGAGAAAGTTTGTTGCGAATTTTTAATGTGTATATGTTGTGGGTCAGATGATGATTTGCGTCAGATGCATCGACGTGCGTCAATACCTGACGCGCGTCACTTGTGATATAAAATTGTTATAATTATGTTATAATTAAACACAAACTTAATATTTTTTTTTATTAAAATAAGTTTATTAATTATATTAAGAAATATGTAATTCTAAAACATTAAAATTGATTAGACTTAAACTCATGGAAAAGTACTTCATTCAAAAGTACAAGTTTTTTTCAAGTAAATCTTATAACATAAATTAAATAGGTATAATATTATGCAATTTATTGTCACATATAAGTTTACTTATGGAATAAAAAGTAGTTTCATTAGTAAAAAAAAAGTAGACCTTTATTGTACGATTCAGGTGACGCACGTCAGGTATCAATCCACATCTGACGCAAATCGTCATCTGACCCACAACATAAATATTGAATTGAATTTTTAAAACCTATTTTTTTTATTATGAAATTACTTTTCGCAACAGATTATTCAAACTTTAATTGTCTAATTATAAATTTTTACAAATCGGATGTACAAACGCTTCAAATGTTAAACAAACAAATAAATCATCAAATCTGACGAAAAATAAAATAATTTTTGCTTATACAGTAAATATACTAAAAATCAGCTTTCTTTTCTTCCATAAAATTCATAAAAAATTGAAACAATTTTATTTCACATTAACTCGACAAAGAATGAGGTTTCACGTAGTAAGTATTTTATGGAGTTTTGATATATATGATGACGATCATTAGACTTTACGTAAATATTTGTGTGACACAGCAGAATTGTCGCTTGGTCGCTCCGAAAATCATATAATGATGTAACTTCTAATTCTTTTATTTTTTTTTGAATGTTCAAAGATATTTTCAGGAGATTTACCAGAGTTAATAAATGAAATTATACAATATTTCCATTTGTTGTAAAATTAAATTTTTATATTTATTTAGTGAGCTAAATAATCAGAATATTAATTTATTATGAAAATATTAAACAGAATCTTAATTACCTTTTAATTGAAATCCATGATAATCATTTGAGCTTAATCATATTACAAAATTTAGGACAAATTCTCCCTTTAAATATTTGGCTACTTTATTACAAATTTTTCTTACTAGCGATTTGTTTTTTCTGAAAGATAAAGTAGATGAATATAAATTATATGATATTTAAAGTTTTAGGTTATTTAAATATTGATGTTAAGAAATTTATTTATATTGATATGATCAAAATTGTATAAATAGTTTATTTAAGTTTCATTTTTTTTTTTCTCCTAAATTTGAATCTTTTAAATTTTTTTTTGATAGGTAATAAAAATTTGTTAACTTTTATCCATTCCTTTATTCATATATTTTTTGATTAAAGTCATAAAAGAGTGCATTATATTGAATATTTTAATGGCAAGAAGATAATTATTATATTTATATTATGCAGCCAAATAGGTTCATGTAGTTTTTAACATACTGATATTTTTTTAGATGAATTATTATTGCATAAAATATCTTTGTTATTTTTGACGCATTACGTTATTTAGATTATATTAATTTTTATAGGTAAAATACCTATTGTTTTATACTATGCTTTTATATGGAACATGATCTTGGACGTCTGCATAATAATACAGTTATTTCATAGCATATGTTTCTAGTATTTCTAACCATTGATAAAATAATATTTTTTTACATTAAAAGAAAACGTGAATCTTTTATTTCATTACCAGTAAGCTGTTAGATAACATCAATTAATTTCGCTATTAAAGGTTATTCAATATTATCACTAATATTATGGTCGGCTGATCACGCCACTGTCACGTGATAGGAACATCTAAAGAATATGTATAACGAAGATAATATTGCAAATTTAAGGTCTATACTTTATTAAAAGTAATAATAAAATCGTATATTAATAAAACAGCACAAATAAAACTCGATTTAAAACACTAATATATGAAATACAATATTACTGCCTCATTCGGCGATCAAATAATACTGGATTTAAAACTAAGACTGACAAAATTCATTCTTCTAACCCTCGTTCTCCTCTTTTTATATCATTCTTTTCATCCTATCTTGTAAGCTATAAAAATTGTAAATTACAATTGCAACTCGAATGTGTAGAGGTAACGCACATTTACTACATCTTAATTCTGGTTCGAGATACATAATGTCAGTAGATGTCACAAAACTCTGGCTGGCATTGTCCAAAAAAGAAAAAATCTACAAATTATTTTGGTCCCATTCTTACAGCAAATTCGGTCCTTGTAGATCATCGTTTTTCCGTCCAATTGTTGATCCTATTTTCCGACGTTTGTGAAAGGTAGGACAACAATTATATTACGCCCCATAATTGTCTTTATTTATTTATAGCATCTAGAGATTTGGCGCATCTAAAATGAAATCTGTCGTTATAGATAATATAGATAAAAAGTTCGTAATGTGTTATTCGAAAATAAAATTTAGTTAAATTTATTGATTAACTATCTCAGAATAAGCAATGAGGAGATCATTTATTCGATTGTTTAGGCAAATTTTGTTAGATCACATGATCAGTGTAACATTCAGCGTCTGACTGTCAAGAGAAGAACATTCTATTAGGAACTTTCCTTCGTTATTTATTTGTATTCGTTTTTGTAATCAATAATGGTGCAATTTTTGTGTTGCAAATCTGTCGATTGTCAATTATGTCTAACTTCGTTTTTATAAATGATTATGGTGTAATTTTGTGTTAGTTGCACCAATTAAAATTACATATATTTAAAACCAAGCGTCAGAGCTTTTGTTTCCTTGCCCTGCTTGTCAACATCGTCATCTTCTAACAATGTCGAACGATACAAATAATAACCCAAACTTACTGTACACGGAAAAGGGCCCCTCTCTCAAATCTCAATTTAATGATTTCTTTAAACAATTTCCTCATCATTCTCTTGAATATACTAAATCGATTTTCCCCATAAGAAATTGGATCGGAAGATACAATTTAACATGGCTTTACGGAGATCTCATCGCCGGTTTTACTGTGGGCGCTGTTGTAATTCCTCAAGCAATGGGTTTCGCAAATATTGTCGGAATACCAGTTGAATATGGTCTTTACTCCTCCTTCGTTGGCATGACATTGTATTGTTTATTCGCCACATCCAAGGACATGACGATTGGTCCAACTGCCGTAATGTCCATTATACTTGCTCAAACCATACCACGCGTTAAAGCTGATTATGGTGATACAGATTTTCCATACTTAAGCACGGATATTACCACAACTATTTGTTTTTTCTCCGGGATCATTTCCTTAGCTATTGGTCTCTTCCGTCTTGGATGGTTATTCAACTTCATTCCTGGTGAGTGTCTTAATTTACGGAAACCAAAGTAGCAAACACATCTTGCTCATTTTCACAATGAATCAATTAGGTCCAGTCATTGCGGGCTACATCTCCGCCTCAGTCATAACCATCAGGTAATAATATGGTTTATAGTTTATTGTCAAGAAATTTTTAATCTCATTAAATTAAATCTCAGCATTGGTCAACTTCCGAATCTATTTGGAATTACTGGTGTTGAGACAAGATTAAATCCTCCATATAGGATTCTTATAGATTTTTGCGCAGGGCTACCTAGAACAAAGTCTGATGTTGCAATAGGACTCATATCGCTAGCATTCCTTTACGCAGTGAAATACGGGTGCGCATATGGTGAAAAACGCTCTACAAAATATAAAAAAGTCTTTTTCTTCTGCGGTATCTTGCGGTACATAATCTGCATCATCGTCACCACTTTTATCTCTTGGTTAATCTTGAGAAATATCACGGACGAAAAACTTTTCCCATTCAGGGTTGTAAAAAAAGTACCCCGCGGATTAAACCATGTTAAAGTTCCCAACTTTGAGCCTCAATTAGTGAATGCTGTATTCAAAAGTATTCATATCATAGTTCTCATTTCACTTCTGGAACACATTTCGATCGCAAAGAGTTTTGGGAGAATTAACGATTACAAAGGTAAGACTTTTAGCTTACTTTTCGACATGAATTTCGATTTCTCATCTTTAATATCGATTACGTATTACGTCTTAGTTCAACCGAGCCAAGAGATAATTGCTATTGGTATAACCAATGTTATCGGTAGTTTCTTGGGTGCCATTACTGCCACTGGTTCTTTTTCACGTAGCGCCCTCAAATCAAGAGCCGGTGTGCGCACGCCACTTTCCGGTGTCTCTAGTGCAACATTAGTCATCCTTGCTCTTTACGTGTTGACTCCCGCTTTTTTCTATATACCACAAGCCGCACTCTCGTAAGTACTACGCATATTACATGTTGTTAGAATTTACGTTATAAATATTATTATTTCATTTGTTCTATAGCGCCGTTATCATTCAAGCCGTGATGGTTTTATTATCAAGGCCTTCTTATATCAGGACATTATATTATGTCGAATGCAAGTACAAGATTTCGATTTAATTAATTTTTTTGAAACCATATGCTTATAGAATATATTATTTTTATAGTTTGGGACTTGGTTGTCTTCGCTATTGCTATCGTAGTCTCCATGTTCTCCACTCTTGACGTAAGTAGTACAATTGCAAAATAATTTTTCATTCAATGATATATTTATGAATTTATCTCTTTCAGAATGGTATCTTTGCTTCATGGGGTTTCTCATTTATTGTCCTTCTTGCTCGCATGGCCCGTCCACGTGTCGACACGTTAGGTCGCCTTGCTCTTGCCACTTTCAATAGGAAATCTGATAAATCTGATGATTCTATTCCAAAATACGCCTTTGTTCCGCTAGAAGATCCTTCATTCACGACGGTGGAAACTCCACCTGAAGGAATAGTAATTTTTCGCTTTACTGAATCACTTACCTTCCCAAATTCTAATTATATCGATGATAGTATTGTTGAATATATCGAACTGCATACACGTCGATTGTACAAGAGAGCTGTGAAGAAAGGTGATTGTTTGCTCCAGATCCAATACTAGAACGACAGGTTAGAAAGTATTAACATCATTTCATTTTAGATGATCAACCATGGAATGAAACTGATGGCCTCGTCGATGCTGCAGAAAATGAGAAGTTGTTACCGTTACGAGCTGTTATATATGATTTCTCGGCAATTTCTTATGTGGACACCAGTGGTTTTCAGGCTTTGATTGATGTTAGAAAAGCGGTTAGCTTATATTTCAAATATCTTGATGGTCAGTTTTTTAACACGATATGTTTTTAAATTGGTTAAATATTTATTTTACATATAGGTGAATAAGCATGCGGCACGTGAAGTTGAATATCACTTTGTAAATATTTTGGATGAACGCGTTCAAAATGCTTTGATTAGGGCTGATTTTGGGCGACAAATCCCAATCATAACTGAAAGCATAAACGAGAAAACAGAAAATAATATCGAAGAAGGAATAGAATTTCCAAAAACCAATAAACGATTCTTCCATTTAACAATAGAAGAAGCCATTGTTGAAGCTCAAAGTTGAACATAATAATTTCATAATTTTTTTCATATCGATCATAAGATCGTTATGATAACAACACATGATATGTAATAATATGTTTATTAATACTTTGTAAAATATATAAAGATTTTTATTAAAAATAATTTTATTAAATAAATTAAGTAAACTATAGTTTTGGGACATAAAATTGTTCAAATTATAAATTTAATAAAAAATTTTTTTTAGATACATACTGTATATTTAAAATATAACCATGTAATTTAATTGATACTAACTTAAACTACAAAAATGATGTTGTGATTGTTCTGATTGGATATACTATAAATTTAGGTATTTTTTTGAAGTTAGAATTTGAAACGTATTATTCTGGCCAGAATTTGACAAAATTTCATAATTTAGTCCAAATTCAAAATAATATAAATATAATGATTGAAAATAAGAGTTCATGACTTCATGTTTAAAGGGGAAGTTAGGACTATAAAATGTAAAGTATATGAAATATGATTTATTTTGAACTTGTTCATTTCAAACATTCGAATTTATAATAAATATTTGTTTAACCATAATTGAGTTAATTATGCAAAATTTTTAGTATCTTGATTTTATCATACCTTCATGTGCAGCAGTGAAAGGAGTTGTTTTTTATATGAAAAGTTCTATATAAAATTATTTTATATAGTTTTAAGGACCCAACATGGATTTTATGTAAATGTGTAAAATATGTCTATGTAGATTTTTTATTTAAAATTCAAACATCTTTCATATAGTTTTAAATAAGTATTATTTAATATTGGCCACGTAAATCCATTTTCCAACGATTACTTGCTTCATATAAATAAAAATATTTTGAATTTGGCGCATTTAATCCCATTATATTGTACATAAACTTCCAGTCACCAGATCAATTGACCAATGCACATCGTTAACAGAAATCCCATTTTCTTGAAGATCTTGAAGTTGATACTTAACAACTTTGGCCAATGTTTGTATCTTTCTTTGTCTATATATAAATACAAATACTAATTTATTATTTAATAATAAATGATATAAAAAATTTATAAAATTAATACTATCTATATTGATGTCTGGTTTTAACACTTCCTCTTTTTTATTTAATAAACACATAGTATTTATCAGCACATGATTTTGTTTACGACCCACATTTCTTCCATCTCCATCAAGCTTCAAATTAATTGTATTTCCTGGTTGAAGAATCGGTGGGTTTGATCTGCTCCAAATAGGAATAAATATTTGAAGAAGATTTCTAATAGATCGATAAACACCATTACCAATTTCTTGTTCATCAACCATGATTCCAATAGGATTATCTTGATGTTCTTCATCATCATCAAGTATGGGTTGTTGATTCAATTCTTTATCAATTGTTCATTAATTAATTTTGTAATTTCTATCCCCCTTTGTGCAACTGATATTCATGCATCAACCCTGTTTTCACAGCAGCAAGTCTTCGATATCCATCATGATCTAATAAAGCTTCATCACAGGCACGTATATAGGCATCTAATTTTATATTATCTAATGATAAATTGTATTTTATATTAATAATATGATCTTCATATTCTAATTCCATATTACGTACTAAGTGAATTGACTCCCCAGATTCTGATACTATTTGATGTCATAAAATAAACTGTTTAATTTTCTTGTGAGCATCTCCTCCAAATGATGCATATCGTTTATTTTGTTGTGATACTGATACTACTTCACTTTCTTTTATCAATAGTAGTTTTTTCTATAGATGATTCTCCAGTTCGTACTTGATGTAATATTTTAATATCAAATCCAAAAACATGTACTCCGGAAATTTAGGATTTTTCACGATTAGTTTTCTATATTAATTAATAAAAACGCGTAAAAACACGTATTTAATTTACTAAATATTATATGCTTCATATTAATATTAATTTAATTTTTGCAAATAAGTAATTAAAATACCTTTAAAAATGCATTTACAGCCCACTAGCAGACCGTTCACTAGATACCATCCATTCTGCTCGTCCTTTTTTCTATGTAATAGTATATAAAACCTTATTTGCCAAAGTGTACTTTGTTTCTACAGAATTTGGTCTGCAATTTCTGTCTTTACAATATATCCATCAGGAATTTGATATTGAACAGCACTTCAACCAATTTTTTGTGTATACTTAACATTTTGTGGATAATGTCCAAGTACTATTATTTTATATTTTGAGCGAAAAATCTTTCCTCCAGCAATATACTGAGCATTTATATAAGGATTATTAGGATAATCTTGGTAAAAAATTCTTGCAGTCTATTTGTAAACATTTAATAATTAAGATATTAAACATACATGTTATTCATAAAGAAAGCAAAATTGCTTACCATAGGGCAATTTGAGAGTATTATATATAGAGAGTTTAATTTTTGGTTTTTTATTAAAAATTTTTAAAACTTAAGCAGTGAAAATAAAAAATAACATATATTACAAAAACAACTTATAATACTTATTTTTGATTTTGTAATGAACCTTTTCAAACCAATCTACAACTAATCTGAAACTTACGCCTTCAATAGTAAAAAAAAAAATTTTTTTTTCGCTATTTGAGTGATTTAGCACATATTTTGGTAGTACAAATCAGGTCATCAAGTTACATCACAAAATGTACTAGCACGATCAGATTATAACGTGTCAATATTTTATGCGTATAAAAATTTTTTGAAGGTATCACTGCTCAAGACATACTTTCTCTATTGTTAATTAAACTAAATTTTTAGTAATCAAGATTTTTTCATGAATATTTTTTATGTTGAGTTATATTGGATTAAAAATATCAATAAATTAATAAAATGAGGCGAGATTAGTTTATGTATCAATTAAATTAATTTAAGCATATACCTTATATACCATCTAATAACCAACCAATAAATTTTGAACATTACGATAATTCATATGTAAAAAAAAAAATTATATGTAAAAAAAATGGCGTTCAAATTCAAAAAATACATAAAATTTCTTCCTCCCAGGGTAATGTCGGCTGTAATTATCAAAAAAGGAATGCACATTGTGACACAAAAGTACGAAACACTTCATGCAAAATATTATAATATCTTAGTAATAATCACGCCTGTTTAAAAAATAAAAAAAAAATAATAATAAATTGAAAGTAATATTTAAGTTTCTTAGCGCTTTCTTTCAAGAAAAAATCAAATGTAACTAATTAGAACATATAACAAATATAATACCAATACACGACACGAGGTTCTCAAACTATATAACGGAGAGTTCAACGGTAATTATACCTAATTCTTAATTCAAAAAAATATAATACAAAGACGTTGCATCTAATACTCAACGTGTTACCTTTTATTTCATCGGACCGAACTTTATTATGGTTAAAAACTTTAATATTAACTTAGTTAGAAAGAAAGACATAATAAAATTTAATTCTTAATAAATTATAATATGATAATTTGATAATTTCTTTTTTTATTAGAATTCATATTGAACAATATTAATATTACATGCATTTTTTAAATTTTTTAGAATAATATCAATTCAGAATAAACGTTACCTTATTAATTGATAATCAAAATAAATGTGCTTGAGGATCAAAACTTCTTGCGCCATTCCACCTTTACCGTGAAAGTTAAAAATCTTTAATTTAGGTGCAAAGTAAAGATTGCTATTTGATTTTCTTCGAGCAGCTGGAATCAAAAATGTGGTTAAAAATGTGGTTATTAAGGGATTTTCCATTTACGTACTAGTAAAATTAATTTGGTCAAATATAGATTTATTAAATTTTTATAATTTTTTTGCTTGAAAAACATTATAAAAAACATATTATGCATTGTAAGTTGTATAGTAATTATAATATAATAGTAATAATAATCATATAGCGAAAACATGGTAAATATACAGTTTACTGCACATTAAGGAAATTAAATTTCTGTAAATCTACAAGAAATATAAAAGATGAGATTCTAAGAAATATATTGGAGAATATCCTCGTACCTAATTATCACTTCACGAATGTTTCATCCGCCGAAATTAAAAAAAAAATTACAATGTCATAAAAATAGCAACCAATTGGGTACTTTTGTCTCGTTCGAGTCGAATAAACCGAATAATCAGCTTTGCCATTTTTAGAACGGGCTATTAACACAATTAGAAAGTACAATTTTATATAGGAAAAAATAAACAACCCTAATTTAACTTTTTATGGATTAATATTTCTGCATCTTAATTTCCGGTTTATATTGTCAAAATTTTTTAATTCTAGAATTCACGGTCTGCAATTTAAAATCTCTTGTAACGATATTCTTAAAACAAATTTTAAATTGAAACACATCGAACCTCCTTGGTTACAACAATTCTAACAAAGAAAATTTTCATGTTGGTGAGTTTGGTTTCGCAATTTTATTCAAAGTAGATCTGTTTAACATGTAAAATTTACTAAAGCGGTTATGATATCACTGTAAGACGTTAGATCAGTGTTTCCCTCGTGACAAATTTTTTTATAAATTCGGAGCCGATATATACCTAAGAAAATTTATTAATTATAAGATTAAAGACGATACAAAATTTTAAATCTTATAAATATATTTAATAAATGGAAAAATGGACTTAATAATTTATTCATATATTATAAAGATAAAAAAAGTTAATCATTATAATGTAATTTTGCATCATTATCTTAAATGATTCTATAAAAAAAATAAAGACGTGTGATACAAAATACAAATTATCGTCACACCTAAAGTGATAAACGTGAATCTGACAGAAAATTTCAAAATCATAATTTTTGTGTGACACCGTAATTTACGTGTGGCACCTGCACACTGGAAAAAAAAAATAATTTTATAGTTAGATGTTTTATTGTTTTTTTTACGTATAAATATTGCATCTAAAACCTTCTTTTTTTCGAAAAAAATCTTTTGCAGAGAAATAACAAAAATCAACTTGATAATTTCCTAAGCAAAAGATAAAAAAAAAATCAAATTCTCATAATTTTCTCATATTAAATTCAAAAAAAAAATAA